TGGTACATCATCGTTACCGTCATTCGATCCAGATTCGATGTCTTCCTGGGACCTACCTATGTCTTCGACTGAAGCACTCTCGGTTACGCATAGTCCAAAGGAGTTGGTAACCGATAAGTGTAGCTTGTGCCCAGCACAGCCCAGATGAGCAAAGGTAACAACCATACGCTCACGAAGAAGATCCATAGCCCGGAAGTTTGTGCTGGCACTGTCCGTAGTGAACGGACATATCTTCGAGACACAGTTACATTTCGGCAGAGCAGCATAGACACTGTCGGCGATGTTGGCACGGGTATGACGACCTTTCAGATCGATGAAATCGATCAGTGTTCTTCTAAGTTGCCCATTGACTTCGGGATAGTAGTGCCCCACAACACCGATGAAGGATCTCCGCGAAGAGCGAGCCCACACGTCAATGGTCAATTCAATGCTGGGTATCTCCTTAAGTGTATCTATGAAAACCATGTGCAACCTTAAGTGCATTCAATACGCCTACTTGCAGTGTTAGTTGCATGAGCTTTTACCCTTCTTGTAAGCTCTCTGCCGAGTGACCGCCGAGATGGCACTTCGAATGATGTCCTTAGGGCTAGAACAAATCGTCGGAACCCTCTGCTGTTTACGGTCATCAATGGTAAACCCGATTCGATGATAAGATCGGTGACTGTCGAAAGATAACATACCCGAATCCCTCCGTCTTCAGTCCTCTCAGCGAGTCGACCTGTCTGCACTTCAGCTCGTGGGCTCTGACCCCGCTCAAGCTTCCTCTGCTCACTTACAAAACTTTCTTACACCGAGGACATTCCACTTGGGTATCGCCAAGCTTCTTCCATTTCGGAAATTCCCGCTCGAGTACTGTCGCCTTGCGCGGTGGCCTATAGCAAGCTGGAACACTAAACTGAAGAAAATAAATACTAACTGCGGTAACCGACACCTAACTCAAAAGTTCATTCATTGAAGCACCTTCCGGATTTGCACGCCAAGTCTGCAAGTCAGCACAGATGCCGTCACGGTGCCGTGATCATTACGTGCGCTTTACGTGACCGTGCCGTAAACTTACGGTACGGTACCGTACCGTAGATTTGCCCACCTTCTAGTTATGGGAGTACACTGATAGGTAGAATATCAGGCGTAATGAACCCAAACACTAGAGGTACACAAGGCTGCATCGGCCATAGGGAAATAGAAGATTTGTACAGAATACGAACCTTCATCAGTAGTGAGAAGAATACTATATACGCTTGAAGAATGTATATACTTAGCAGCATATTGTGGTAAGTTAACACAAGCAAGATAGGAATGTAGATAAGTCGTAATAACATTGGAATGGAAAGAGATAAGACTACAGCTTAAAGGCTTAATACAGCTTAGCTCGAACCGATCAGTATGATATAACTAATATATCGATTACCATGGTGAGCGCGATTGTCATCATATCACACATATACTGCTATATATACTATATATGCTGTATATACTTATACCTACTGAGTCTTGCCACGAGACCGTTACAAAGATAAACGAAACGTTGGAGACGAAGCGTGGAAAGATGTATCCAACGGAGCGATGTTTATCATCTTCATCATCATTATTTACAATATCATGTGAACAAATCACCCAATTATAACCGGACACCGCTCTAGGAAAGTACACTGGTGAATAAACGTAGCAGATCATAATACAGTAGAGCAACGACGTTGCCGCCTCGCAGAGCAACGACTACACCATCTCCTGATCTATTTCAGGAACTACAATCTCTTCAAGTTCATATATCGCCGATTCAATTTCTGATGATCAATGTTGTTCCGATTCCGTTTCACATTTTTCCACTTCAATTTCATTCTTTTCCAAGTCAATTTCGAAGACATACAAAAATCGACCCACTCGTTATGAACGAAGCAACTGGTGGTGCTCCCATCGAATACGAAACCAGTTGTGGAACATGCACGTGGACGAAAATATCCACATTTTCCGTCCAATTCTCCCCTCTTTTCCAACCATCTCGGAAACTTTCTTGGGTTTATTGTGTGTAAAAAACTTCGAGAACGCATATGCCAGGATGTGAGTGTAGTACACTCAGTGTACACACTCACAAAAACGCTCAAAAAATCCACCAGACTGTATGGAACAATGCTGGAGCTCTCCGAGACGCTGGAAGTCTTGGAGAATGCCGAGGGGAAGCATGGAAAGGTGGTTGGTCCTATTACTAGTCCTGATTACTGCGACTTCAGAGATGATCTTAGGAAATATGTGTGAGGAAAAGGCTCTCGGAGTCTCGGGAAAGAATAGTGCCGACACTATTGGCCCAACAGTCGCCACTGCAGCGGAGTGGGTCAACAGCGGAATAAGGCTGGAAGAAGATGCCACCTACTCTGAGCGCACAGCGGGGCTGTGGATGCGCTACCTTTGGAGATTCATGTTGTAGAATGTCTCAAAGTCTCCTTCCCTGTAGTGTTCCCCCAACTAAGCTCGCAACATGCTCGAACAGTTGCAACTTAGATGTTTCCCACTTGCACTCATGATAATGGTGACGATAACTTTCGTTGTTTAGTTGAGTGAGGAGTTAGGGTATTTGGGCTGGATACTCGGAGCTTATCCAAACGAAGCTATTGTTGGGGATACAAGATCTGTAGCTCTTCGTGATTTCTCGAGATAAGCTAAGCACCAATATCCCCAACCCGAGTATCTAGCAGCGCTAAAGACAGACTTCTCCGTAATCGACCTATATAAGAGATGGCGATCAAGATAGGTGCATTCTCTTAACATCCCATATACATAAGAAGTCTGCATTGCGCCTCCCCCGCAACCTTTTAACGGGTGGGTAGGGCAGGGTGAACACTCAGGTATCGTCCCCATATCCCATTCCCGCCTACATTTCAGTCGAACTTTGAACTTGCCCAATGAATTGACCACGTCAACAAAGACATTGTACGTAGATGGCCACGATCGACCTGATGCAGTCGCTGACCGATCCAGGCTGGCGGGGGAGCTTGTCGGGGTGGATGCGGAGCTGATGTGTTCGGAGGACGGGACCCTGAGGTTATGACAATCTGCAGAGGCGGAGTTTGTTCTCGTCTCACAAGTTCGAGAAATCTATCCTGCAAAAACCAATCCAGTCGCTTTTGGTCTGATGAGAACTTCAGAAAGCTTCAGGCAAGGCCTGCTGGGAGGAGGGTGATGTCGTCGAACCTCCTATCTGAGGTGTACGGTCTCACCCGCCATCCAGAAATGGCAGAACGTGCTGGCCCGCTCTTAGATGTTGGAATCGATGGTTGTAGCACCACTGACCGGGATCACCGCCGAATGATGACTACTCAGATCCAGAATCTTAACGGGAGCTCTTGGTGTATTTCGCCCAGAGTATTCTTGAAGGTTTCCCATATGCCACTCTCGAACATGTCTGGCCTCAAAACGATAATAATATACTTAACAGATCCTTACCGAGAATTCCACGTGAGATTGGTCGCAGTAGCGACAGAATTAGGGTGGTCGGCAAATAGTTTGTCGAGTGCTGGATTGACTTGGGCATTGCAAGGGCTCGACTTTAACTATAGGCGCCAAGGCACTCATTCTGTCGAGGACCAAAATTGACCTGCTGGGACAAGAAATGGCGTCAGAAATTCGAGCCGATAACGAGCCTCTAACCGCGAGCGATGGGAGGACTCGGATCTCAGCAATATCAATCCAATTTGCCTCCTGGAATTTGCCATCGTTCAGGGTGCCAATGGTCGTGACAACAGTAGCTGAGTCAGTAGACTGTGGATGGCCTGTCAAGCTGTAGCTGCACGCCGAGGCGATTTCGCTCGCCCATTAACTATAACCAAGTAGAACACAGTTGTTCATTACACCCCCATTTTTCCTCTTGTAGGCTTACGTTGCGTCCCAGTATAACACTAGCTGACCCCCGCACCTCAGCTGTTCCACAGTTTGCGTCCCAGCGAACGAGGGACGTCCGTAAAAGTGCGGCGATTCCTTATGGTAGAGGTAGGAGAGATGCGACAGTGTCACGCCATCCGCATATTGAATAAACTCAACCACAACACTAAACCAACTCCCTACGACTGCTCATTACATGCCAATATATCAGCAGTGAGATTACCTCACATTCATAATCGATCACCAAGGCGAGCGCTACTCGCACTCATGTAGGGATAGTAACCTCCTAATAATGGAACTCAATACACGACAAGTGAGCAGAGATAACCTTGTACGAGAGCGGACGTACAATAGAGTAGAACGTATCGGAATACGTTACGTTACAACTTATAACTGTGCTTACGAACTACGTATGAGCTACTACTAGCTCTAGCCTTGCAGCACCTTAGCACGCAGGGACAATTGTGTTCGGACCGAAAATTGGGGGACAAGGAAACAATGTGGCACAATGGTCGAGCCACTGGCACAACATTCCTCCCTACCAGGTCCGAACCCAAGAGGACCTTAACGGACAAAAGGAACAAGTATAGATACGACCATAAAAATAAAATCTACATTAATTGTTCTACAAGCAAAAGAAAGTTACAGTCATCATTCATAATTAATTCTCTTCTTCAGCTTCTTGGGCATAGGGGAGGCCAAGAGGGCCTCGACATACACGTCCTCAAATGAATAAGGGAAGATCAACATGACGTGGGTACCGATAATCATAACTCTAACCAAAAGAAACGGGCGATACTTCACGCGCCATAATAAGGCGCGCACGCCATAGAAATAAGTCACGCACCATGAAACCAAACCATACAACCATGGCAAGTTGAGCTTGAAGTAAGCGTTGGCCAACAGATCATAGAATAAGATAACGATAGGAGCTCCATGTAAAAGTAGTCTCAGAGATAGCACTCGCTGAATATCATGATACACCAGTTATCGTTCACTTCGTTATGGCTCTAGAAACCAACAACCAGAAGTAAATGTCGTCACCAGGGGAGCGGACAAGAGAAGAGGATATCCGCAAAACGGATTATCGTACTCCAGCCGGGTAGTAAGGGAATAGTGAATGGAAAAGAGGGGGCCCGCGAAACGTAGCTCCGTATTCCGTATCATTTTTTCCTCCCTACCAGAACTAAGGCGGCCGCCTTAGTTCGTCTCGTGACTACATGCATCACTTGGGGTAGACGAAGAACGATCAGGTCGTAGTGCAAGTGGAATATAGGTATCAGATGAGAATCGTTCTCGAGGACCAGGAAGAGTACCAGTTCGAGATCTAGTAGTGTACCGAGGTCGGGATAATGGCATAGACACTATAGTAGATTCCCTTACGGGAGCAGACACTTCTTCCTCGGGAACGGACTCGTCTACATCTGAGGCCACATCAGGGACAGTAGAGTCCCGGTTAGAAGCAACTGACATTGAGTCTTGCTCAGAGTCAACAGATGACGTTTGAGACGGCGATGATGGGGCAGAACGGGCATCCATCATAGACAAGTTAGGGGTCGTGAGGGGCGTTACTTCCGAAACTTGCTCATTGCTAACATCATTATTAGCAGTGGCCGGTGAACTAGGAATACAAACCGAGTCCGGGGAAGTAAGTTGAACAGACGAACCGACAGGAGTAGAGGCAACCGGAGAGTGGCCTTGAATGTCAGACTGGACACTAGCAGGGCCAATATCCTGAGGGCTTACAGGAGGTGGTTGACTTGTAGTACCACCCGAAGGAACGGGCGCCAAGGGAGGATCAGCAGGTGATAATGCTTGGTGACCAGCAGGAGCTACCACTGATGCTGGACTAGGCGAGGTCGGAACCAATTCGATGGTAGGACCGTTATCATCACGTTGAGCCTGTTCTTGGCGAACTTCTGGAGCTGTAACATACGCAGGAGCAACTTGTGGAGGACCAGTTACCACAACTTGCGGGCGAAACGAGTCAAGTCCTTGCCAATTAGGACGTTGAGGACCAACTTGTAAAGTTGACCGTTGTTCTCCACCAATGAGATTACCCAGACGAACAACAGGTTGTTGAGGCCTTGGTGGTGCAAAGACTGCATCATTTGCACCAATTAACCCTTCAAAACGGACGTGGGGTTGCTCTGGAGGAAGTCCATCAGAGGAGACTATAACAGAACCATGAATACTAGGCGGGGTAGGTTCACGAGGATCACGAGGAGGTGGAGGAAACTCTTGCATAATCTCCTCGATGTTATCCGGTTGAAGAGGATCAACCTTGATATGATCAACACTTAGAACCTTAACCCGTCTTGTCGGAAGATGAAATAAGCGGACAACCTTGATAGGATCAGTAGAGCCTATGATCTGAGTAATAAACCAATTAGGCTCCCACATAGGGGAGAGCTTAGTAGGTCTCTGATGCTTCATCAGCCGTAGCAGAACACGGGCACCAACAAAGAATCCTTGCGGGACAAGGTTCTGATCATAATGCCGCTTAGCATTACCCGCTGCTTGAGTAATAGCCATATCGACCTGATCCATTAAGTAAGCACGGACAGCATCAGTATAGGCCTCATAGGTAGCAGGGTCAAACATGAGATCTGTGGCAGCCATTGGCATAGGCAAGAAATCCGAGGGAGGATCACGAGCAAAGATCAACTTATAGGGGCTGAACCCAGTAACCGAGTGTATAGAAGTATTGTAAACCCAAAGTAACGCAGGCAAATGGGAGACCCAATCAGGGATCCCAATATGACGACGTAGCATATCCAGCAACGAACGATTAAATCGCTCTACCAGTCCATTACCTTGAGGGTGGTAAACGGACGAGCGGGATCGCTTAATACCCAAAGCTTCCATAACCCGATTAAAGAGAACAGACTCAAACTGGGCACCTTGATCAGAGTGAATACGGACAGGCGGGCCGAACTTAGAGAAGAGGTTTAAGAGATGAGGTAAAGTCTCTTCTACCGTAGCACGCTCTAACGGGTAAGCTTCAGCCCACTTAGTAAAGTAGTCTTGCAAGACTAGCAAATACTTTTTACCGTTAACCGCAGGCGTGATCTCCAAGTAGTCAACAGCCAAGGTATGCCATGGCCTTCCAACCGGTACCGGTACCAAAGGAGATGGAGTCGGACGACCAGCACGGGCAGCAAGACAACCAGGGCACTTCTGTAGGTACTCATTAATATCGACATGCATATTAGGCCAATAAACCACCGGTTTCATATTCTCCAGCATCCGTTTCTCCGCAAAGTGACCCTTCTCATCGTGGAAGTAGGCTACAGCTTCGCCTCTCAACGCAGTAGGAACGATGGCTACACAACGGATGGGAGCAAGTGGGTCTGTCTTCAAAAGGCGAACGAGAACACCTTCACAGACATCCAGGACCGACCAAATACGCCTATAGGGCATATATAGACGAGAAGTGAATTCCTTGCGACCCAAAGGAGCATCCACTAAGACTCGATCGCGAACTTCACAAACCACATGGTCTTGTTCTTGAGCTTCTCGAAGTTTATCCCATGACCATAACGGACATAAAACCACTGTGGCAATCAGGGGGTCTTTCATAGTGTCAGGTAACAAGCCTGACAGTTCCGGATCTTCTGCAACCACCACAGAATCTGGAGGAACAACCTCGAGATTTGAACGGACGGGACAAGTCTTAGTAGGAATAGGGGTCTTGGATTCAACTTGCAGTTGTGGTCGGGACAAGGCGTCGGCATTAATATTCTTAACACCTTCTTTGTAACGGACTTCAAAGCGGAAGTTTTGCATAGCCAGTAACCAACGTTCAACTCGTGGGGACTTCGACTTAGCCAACTGTTGTAAGGGCCGATGATCAGAGAATACCGTGACCTTGAACGGAGTATCCAGTAAGTAGTGACGAAATTTCTCCAGCGAACGGACCAGTGCATAACCTTCTTTCTCATACGTGTGCCACCGAAGCTGAGCACCCGTAAGAACTTGGGAAAAGAACGCTAGCGGACGATGTTCTTGTTCCAAGACAGAACCAATAGCAAAGTCACTTGCATCACAACATAACTGGAAAGGGGCGTCAAAGTCAGGGTAGGCGAGAGCGGGCAAACCGGCCAGGGCCGAACGAAGGGCCTCAAAGGAACGCTGTTGATCTTCTTTCCAATGTAGGCGAATAGTGTCGGGTTGGTCGGCACACAAGCTGACCAGATCCTGCACTGGCTTGGCCATGGCCGTGAAACGTGGAATGAAAGAGCGGTAATAGCCAACCAGTCCCATAAACCGTCTCACATCACGCACTGTCTCAGGTAATGGCCATTCCATTATACAACGGACACGATCAGGATCGGGACGCATACCAAACTTGTCATAGATATGGCCCAAATAAGATATCTCCTCCATAGCAAAGTCACATTTAGTAGCACCCAAAGTTACCTTCGCAGCGGACAACCTCTCGAAGACCACACGAAGGTGCCGAACATGAGTCTCCATGTCCGGTGAGAAAATCAAAATATCATCAAGATAGATCTTGACGAATGGTAGGTCGCCTAGGATGTCCTCCATGAGTTTCTGGAAAGTAGCTGGCGCATCATGTAGACCAAACGGCATACGCAGAAACTCATAGAGGGGAAAGCCATTCCCCGGACAGAAAGCGGTCTTCGGGATGTCAGCAGCAGAGACGGGTACTTGCCAGTAACCAGACTTCAGGTCCAGAGATGTAAAGAAACGGGCACCTTTCAAGTCATCCTGTACGAAGTCAGGGCGAGGAAGGGGATAAGCGGACATGTGGGACCGACGGTTCAGTTCACGATAGTCCACGCAGATACGGACACCACCAGTCTTCTTCTTAACGTAGACACAAGGTGAACGCCACGGACTCATACTTGGCCGAATAATCCCTTCTCTCAGCATATCATCAATCTGGCCTCGTATGTCAGCTTGCCATTTATGAGGTACACGTCTCGGACGCTGAGCCATCGGCTGCTCATCGAAGGTCTTTATATCATGAGTGACCAACGGACAAAACCCGATCTTGTTGTTGAACAACTCAGAGAACTCGTTACAGAGATCTTGAATAGGGCAAAGTTCGGGACGGTCAGACACTGGTAACTTGGGTAATACGGTATCCGGTTCCTCAGGACCGGGCAGTAATGGGATCGCATAGTCATCCAAATTACCACCTATGTCATCGTTCTCGAACTCATCATAGATCTCTTGGTCTTCTGCAGGCCATTGTTCGAAACCAGTATGTCCGCCCTTCTTAGGGTCATCATAAAACTCATACGGATCAGGGGGTTGCAGCAAACAGATAGGAGTCCCAGCATCAGCAAAAACCCTACGCTGAGCCAGGGAAGGACTGTCATCACCATCACCATCACCAAAACCAAGGTGAGAATAAACATCATCAGAGTATCGGCAAAGAGAGTATAGAGAACTAGCTCCATTACCAATCACAACATCAGGCGGACTTTCACAAGTTCTAGCACAACGAACGGGGTTCTTGGGGACAATCTCCGAAGAACTTGTGCTAGATGTGGATGGTACCGTTTGAACAGACTCATCAATCATACCAGTAGTCTGGGTAGAAGCATTACGGGTACATACACCCTGTGCTTCACTAGGGCAGATAGTCGGAGGGACGGGTAGTACACCCGCAGAACCAGTTGCTCCAAGTAGAGCGAAGGGCAACGACACACTCACACTCCTTGCATCAGGTTCCGGTAGAGGTTCACGATACCGACCCACCAGAGGGTCACGAGTACCAACCAAACGGACATAACCTTCAACCATCTGTAAGGACAAACCATAATGCCAAAGGAAGTCGAAGCCCAACAACATATCACAAATTAAGTCTTCTACCACATAAACCTTAAATTCAAAACTTACACAGTTACTACCGGCCCGCGGCACGAAGTCGGAGTAAACGTTACTACCGTTGCCTACATTAGGCGAATCATACAACGTTAATCTTACAATGGCAGAGCCCAATAGCAGAATAGGATTGCCGGGATCTGCGGAGCCGGCATGAGTAAGTACAGGTTGCAGTCGAGTACCCTTAGGTAGATTCCTTTTAGGAACAACCGTAATACGAGCACCAGAGTCAATCAGAGCCCTGATAACCGGAGAACAGGCATCTCCAGCATTCACACGGGCAAAAATAAAAGGACCATTAGACTCGCCAAAAGTACAGAAAGATATCGGTGCCGACGACCGGGAGCCGCAATCCGGTCGTCGAATTAGTTTCCCGGCGGGGAAGGCGGATTACCTTGAAGACCAGCCAAGAAGGTAGTACGCAACGGGCAATTACGGGCGAAGTGCTCAGTGTTCCCACAAATAGCACAACCAACAGTAAACTTCTTGTGGAAGCACTCCAGAGTTAGATGAGGGCCAGAACAAATACCACATCTACGAACACCTCGTCGTCGTTGTTGACCATTTTGTACTGCTTGTCCATTAGGTTGGCCTTTTGGCTGTGGATTACCCAAAACGGCGCAGAGTCGATCAAACTGCTCAACTTGTCGCGACTGGGCACCCTCAAAGGCACCAAGTAGCTTGGATAACATCTCAATGCTGGCATCTAACTTAGGTTCTATAGAACGGACAGCATTAATACCAGTCTGATCACTGTTGTCAACGTAGGCACCCAAAAGGTCACAAACATCGGCAGCACTCCGAGGACGGGCCCGACGAATCTCAGCCTTCGCCGCGCCTGTAGCCAACTTAGATAACTTCTCAACCAAAAGAGTCTCTCTGGCAGGTAGTGAAAGTCGACAATCAGGCTTCAGCAAGTCGTTGTACTCGTTCAAGTATCGTGACAGGGCAGCTGCATAAACCGACAATGGTTGGATGCGATCCCACTGGTAGTTATCAAACCGACTCCAAGCTTCATCAGGAAGTCGACACTTCTCAAAAGTCTTAATGAGAATTGCCTTGTCAGCTTCGTAATTAACCTTAGAGCACTGAGTCTTCCACACATTAGCAGAGTCACCAGTAAGGAATGCACCCAGGAAACGGGCACGAGCACGATCATCATAGAGATTACCGTAGGTATAGAGCTCATAAGCTTCGAACCAGTCACGTATATTGTCCGTTGGCTTATTAGCAAACTTCTCAGGAACGGGCACAAAGAGTCGCTTCGTCCTAGCAGGAAGAATAGACTCACTAGAAGCCGTAGATACTACAACCGGAGAGCTTGTTGAAGAAGTCGTCTGGATGTTAGGCATGGCGCTAGAGTTATTAGTCGTTGATGTTGATGTCGTCGCACCGGTCTGTGCCGATGGACCTGTACTAGTCACGTTGATCATAGCATCATTATTAGTACTCGAAGTAGCCGAAGGTGCATTAGTGTTCATCACAGGAGGATCCACCTCGTCACGGGGAATAGTACCATCGTGATCAGTATCGGAATTGTTGTTAACGTT